ACATGTACAGACTGGAGCTGGCCGGGGGTCTCGGGGTAATCCTGTTGGTTCTCGGGGTACTCACGGCGCTCTACAAGTGCTACAACCTGGAGCTGCTCTTGTGCTACAGGAGACACTTCGGCAGCGACGAGACCGAAGACGGTACGAGATTTATTTACCACAAATAAAGAAAGAAATAAATATTCGTCTGATCATTTCATTTTTGTTTTTATTTTGAGTTTGAAAATAAAGTAAAGTAAAATAAAAATGAATTTCCGCTCGTAAATAAATCGCTCCCGCTCGCTCTCTCCCCTCTCTTCTCTCTCTCCTTTCTTTCATCTCTCTCTCCTCCCTCTCCTCTCTTCTCTTCTCTCTTGTTTCTCTCTCTCCTCTCCTCTCTTCTCTCCTCCCTTCTTTTTCTCCTCTCTCCTCTCTTCTTTCTCTGTCCACTCTTCTCTCTAGTCTCTCTCTCTCCCTCCTCTCTCTCCTCCCTTCTTTCTCTCTTCTCTCTCTTCTCTCTCTTCTCTCTCTCTCCTTTCTCTTCTCTCTCTCCTCTCTTCTCTCTCTTTCTCTCTCTCTCCTCTCTTCTCTTCTCTCTTTCCTCGCTCTGTCTTCTCTTCTCTCTCCCTCCTCTCTCTCTTCTCTCTCTCCTCTCTTCTCTCTCTCTGCTCTCTTCTTTCTCTCTCTTCTTTTCTCTCTTCTCTCTCTCCTCTCTTGTCTCTCTCTCTTCCTCCTCTCTTCTTTCTTCTCTCTCTCTCCTCTCTTTCTCTCTATACTCTTCTCTCTCTCCTCTTTTCTCTCTCTCTCCCTCCTCTCCCTCTTCTCTCTCTGCTCTCTTCTTTCTCTCCTCTCTTCTCTGTCTCCCTCTTCTCTCTCTCCTCTCTTGTCTCTCTCTCTTCCTCCTCTCTTCTTTCTTCTCTCTTCTCTCTCTCTCTCTCTTCTCTCTCTCTCCTCTTTCTCTCTCTCTCCTCCTCTCTCTCTGCTCTCTTGTCTCTCTCTCTTCCTCCTCTCTTCTCTTCTCTCTCTCTCTCTTCCTCTTGTCTCTCTCTCTTCCTCCTCTCTCTCTCTCTTCTCTCTCTCTCTCTCTCTGTCTCTCTCTCTCTTCCTCCTCTCTTCTCTTCTCTCTCTCTCTCTCTCTCTTCTCTCTCTCTCCTTTCTTCTCTCTCTCTTCTCTCTCATCTATCTCTCCCCCCTTTCTCCTCTCTCCTTCCTCTCCCTTTTCTCTCATTCTCACCTTTCCTCTCTCCCTCCTCTCTCTCCTCCCTTCTTTCTCTCTTCTCTTCTCTCTCTCCTCTCTTCTCTCTCTCTCTCTTTCTCCTCTTCTCTCTCTCTCCTTCTTTCTCTCTTCTCTCTCTGTCTTCTCTTCCTCTCTCTTCTCCTTTCTCCTCTCTCTCTCTCCTCTCTCTTCTCTCTCTCTCTCTCTCTCTCTCTCTCTCTCTCTCTCTCTCTCTCTCTCTTCTCTCTCTCCTTTCTTCTCTCTTCTCTCTCTCATCTATCTCTTCCCCCTCTCTCCTCTCTCCTTCCTCTCCCTCTTCTCTCATTCTCGCCTTTCCTCTCTCCTCCTTCTCTCTCTTTCTCTTCTCTCTCCTCCGTTCTCTCTCTTTTAAATGATGCTGGGATGTTGAATTATTCTCAGAAAAATTGTCAAAAATGAAAAGAAATAACAACGTCACATATAACTTTACATTTAAATATACAGTTTTTAGTTTTTTTATTGTTTAGTTTTTTTTTAAATCACTAAACTGTGACTTATTGTTTTCTGTCCACAGACAATAAAGAGTACGACGCTTATCTGTCCTACACCAAAGTCGACCTGGACAACATCGGACGGTCAGTGTCTCAGATTCGTCCAGTCCGACTCAAACTGAAAGTGAAAATGTTCCGAGATCCGATCTGGTGTTTTTAAAGTTTTGAGTCCGGAGCCGATCGTGCGTTTGTGAAAGTCTGAGGTCTGGAGACGGACCAAAAAATAATAATAAGAATCTGTCTTGTTTATGCTCACGAAATCATTACTGCAAAACCCTTTTTATTTTGTTTTTGTGAAAAGAAAAAGAATAATTTGAAAAATAACGAGAGGCAATTTCCACAAATTTCCACAAACTGAGAGGAGACACAGACTGAGTCCACGGGAACGAGAGCAGAGATTTTCACTTCAATTATTTTCAGTAACTGCACTGCAAGAAGTAACAGTGTGACGGTACAAAAACCACAGCTGGGCACAGACCTCGGGTTTGAGTTCACAGTTCGGTTTATTTTTGGTGCAGTTTGGGAACAAAATGCAAAATCATCTGTTTGTTGTTTATTTGTGTTTTTATTAAAGGTTGTATAGAGGATTTTCCAAGGAACGAGAATCCAGCGACTGTTTGTCCTTTTTCAAATGTTGTGCATGTGTGAAACCACCCCCCCTCCCCTACAGCTCCTACGTAGAAACACCTCCTCCCTCCTCCTCCTTACGCCAGAAACAGGTTTGTTTACAGTCGGTGACTTGTAAACAACTAACTACAGTGTTGGTTAGGCAAGATGGAGAAGAGAGGATCGGGCAGCGAGGAGAGGAGCAGAGAAGGTTGCATGGAGATTCAGTGCGAATGAACTAGCTACAACACGCAGCAGCAAGTGGACTCTTTCTTTGCCTTGAAAATTACGTTTTCAGACATAGGATATCGCTTTCGTGTCCTGAAAAACGTTTGTGTAGCTCTTGGAAATAAAGTACGTTTTCATAATAAGCAGAAGTTTCCTGTCCAGGAGTAATTTGTGGACCAGTGGTTCAGTCTTTAGACCCTTCGTCTGCTTCAGTCGCGCCATCGCTGGAATGAATCTCCAAGAATCACCTTAGTTTGGCTTCGCTGCTTTTCCCCTTGTCTTCTTCTTTCAGCGACCTCAAAAACGGACTTTCTTTTGCGGCGAACTGCTCCTGGATTCTTGTCTGTCATTGCAACAAACTTTGTGCGAACTGCGAGGAAGATATAGGTAAAAAAAAAGCCGCTAAGAACTGTTGTGTTGGTGGAGTAAACAGCGTCTGTGCGTCTTGCGTCTGTGGACTGTGTGACAGTCGTACGTAAACCACGTACCGGCGGCGCAGGCAAGTCAGTTACACTAGAAACGTAGGGAGTTTGATTGACAGCCTGTCAGCTCACAGATAACGAGGCAGTGTCGTTATCTATTGGCAAATGTTTAGCCCCACCACGTCCAGAGTTGATGAATTTTTATTCTCTTTTTTTTGGTCATCATAATTACAAGGCGACTGCATCTATAATCTATCACTGACAATTTGAAACAAAAAAAATCCTCCATACAACCTTTAAACCAACAGTTTGTTTTACCATGATACAAACAGGAAAATAAAATAAATGCAAAGTGCTGCTTTGTTATACCATCCATCCATACATCCAGTTTATTCTTCTTGTCCGGGGTCGGGTCGCAGGGGCAGTGGTCTAAAGGGCCGTTCACACCAAAGCGTCAAAAAACGCCTTTGGAGCCTTTGCATTTGAGTTTAGACGCCCCCGACGCTCGTGTCTTTGACGCCGTGGACGAACGGGAGAAAAATACTTGACGCGCGTCCGTTGCCCTGGAAACAAGAGCCCGGTCCTGGACTTTTCCCGAAACAATGTCAGACCAGACTGAGAGACTTTAGTGTTTTTATGACATAAAACATCAGCGGAGGAAATCGACTCGACGACTGGAGCGAGTTTATATTTATACTCCACTAATGACACTGGATCAGTCCTGGTCTAGTCCCGGTCTGGTCCCAGTCTAGTCGTGGTTTAGTCTCGGTCTATTCAGGGTCTAGTCCTTGTTTAGTCCTGGTCTGATCCTGGTTTAGTCCTGGTTTAGTCCTGGTGATCGTCTCGGTGATTGTGGTGTATATATTTATTCTCCGCTTCATGTTTGTGGTTCTCGTTCTGGTTCTGGGGTTTTTCTTCCTGATAAAAACGTCGCTGCGTCTCTGGATACTCGTCCCTGATTGGTCGACGCGGCGCTTCTGACGCGAAAAGTTCAACATTTTCAACTTCTTGACGCTGACGCCTTGGATCTGATGCCAGATCTGCGCCGCAAAAACGCAGGACGCTCTAGTCGCGCGTCCACATCGACTTTACATAGAAACTGGACACTTTGACGCTTTGGTGTGAACGGCGCTTTAGGCTGCGTTCAGACTGCAGCCTGAAGTGACCCAAATCCGATTTTTTGGCTTCCTATGTTCCTGTATCTGATCTTTTAATGTCAGTCTGAACGACACAGATCCGATTTTTTCAAATGTGACCCAGGACACTTGGATCTGTGCTCCTGAAACTGATACATATCTGATCTTTTGACATGTGACTTCAGTCTGAACGGTCAAAGTGCATTCATCCACCTACACGTTATCAACAAGACACAAACGTCACTATTCTGCACTGAAGTAGGTGAAAATTGTTAATGAACTGAGTGTGACTGAAGTGAAGCACATCTCCACTCACCACAAAACACCACGACCAAAAACCTCGTCCTTCTCCTTCTCAATCTCCTCCTTAAAACAAGTAAGTTGTTCATGTTCTGGCTCCGGTACGAGAGGAACTTTAAAATCTCCAGGTGCTCGATGCTGCGTCCATGTTTGGACAACTTCTGTAAACACAGAGACGCTCGCTGCGGTTGACGTCGTCGTGTCTCCAGTGTCACATGTGGGACACTTAATGTTCACACTGGAGTCACATACAAGTCACATTTAACTGGAAATGTGAACGACCTCGAAAAAACATCGGATTTCACAAAAAAAATCAGAATTGAGCGTTAAACCCTGCAGTCTGAACGTCGCCTAAGTAGGGGCACCCAGACTTCCTTCACCCCAGACACGTGTGAAGAATCCCTCAGTCGTCCAGGTAGAATCCATGAGGAGAAAATTCAGTTTGTCGACTGAAAAAAAAAGTTAGTTTGAAGACGTTTCTCAGCTCATCCAAGCTGCTTCTTCAGTTCTGTTCAGACGCTGGTGGACGCTTCCTTGTATCTGTCTGCAGGGAGGAGCTAACTACACTGAAACTACACTGAAACTAACACACACACTTGTTTACAGTTTCGGTTTGTTAGTTCAGCCTGTTGACCTGTACAGAGTGTGAGGTTCCGTTTATCACTTTTTATCGACTTTATTTTATGTTTTTTTGTTATAAATGAAACAATCTCGTGAGGTTTTGTCATTGTAAAAGAAATATAAATGTAAACTTTCTCTCGTGTGTCGTTGTGTTTCAGTCCGAGCAGCGACGAGGAAACTTTCGCTCTGGAAATCCTCCCCGATGTTCTGGAAAAACACTACGGATACAAACTGTTCATCCCCGACAGAGACCTCATCCCCAGCTCCAGTGAGTCCTCTTCTGGTCCTGGTCTAGTCCTGGTTTAGTCCTGATCTAGTCTGAGCTAGTCCTGTTCTTGTCCGGTTCGAGTACTGCTTTAGTCCTGGTTTAGTCTGACATTAGTCCTGATCTAGTCCTGGTTTTGCCCTGATTTAGTCCTGTTTTAGTCCTAGTTTTGTCCTGGTTTAGTCCTGTTTTAAGCCTGGTTTAGTCTTGGTTTAAACCTGGTTTAGTCCTGCTCTAGTCCTGTTCTCGTCCGATTCGAGTAATGGTTTAGTCCTGGTTTAGTCCCACTTTAGTCCTGATCTAGTCCTGGTTTAGACCTTGTTTAGTCCTGGTTGAGACCTGGTTTAATTCTAGTTTAGTCCTGGTTTAGACCTTGTTTAGTCCTGGTTTAGTCCTGGTGTAGTCCTTGTTTAGTCCCGGTTTAAACCTGGTTTAGTCTTAGTTCTGCTTTAGTCCTGGTTTAGCCCTGGTTTAGTCCTGTTTTATACCTTGTTTAGTCCTGGTTGAGTTCTGTTTTAGACCTTGTTTAGTCCTGGTTTAGACCTTGTTTAGTCCTGGTTGAGTTCTGGTTTAGTTCTGGTTTAGACCTGGTTTAGACCTAGTTTAAACCTGGTTTAGTCTTAGTCCTGGTTTAGTCCTGGTTTAGCCCTGGTTTAGTTCTGGGTTAGTCTTAGTCCTGGTTTAGTCCTGGTTTAGTCCTGATTTAGTCCCGTTTTAGTCTTAGTTTTGTCCTGGTTTAGTCCTGTTTTAAGCCTGGTTTAGTGTTGGTTTAAACCTGGTTTGGTTCTGGTTTAGTCCTGGTTTAGACCTAGTTTAGTTCTGGTTTTGTCCTGGTTTAGTCCTGGTTTAATCCTGGTTTAAACCTGATTTAGTCTTAGACCTGGTTTAGTTCTGGTTTTGTCCTGGTTTAGACCTGGTTTAGTCCTGGTTTAGTCCTGGTTTAAACCTGGTTTCGTCCTGGTTTAATCCTGGTTTAAACCTGGTTTAGTCTTAGTCCTGGTTTAGTTCTGGGTTAGTCTTAGTCCTGGTTTAGTTCTGGTTTAGACCTGGTTTAGGCCTTGTTTAGTCCTGATTTAGTCTTGGTTTAGTCCTGTTTTAGACCTAGTTTAGTCCTGGTTTAGACCTTATTTAGTCCTGGTTTAGTTCTGGTTTAGTCTTAGTCCTGGTTTAGATCTATTTAGTTCCAGTTTAGTCCTGGACCTACCTGGATCAACCCTGGAACCCGGTTTAGTCCTCTTGTAGTCCCGGTTTAGTCAAGTTTGTACCGAAATCAGACCCCGGCGTAATATGGTCCCTTTAAGTCCCGGTTTAGTCCCGGTTCAATCCCGGTTTAGACTCGGTTTAGTCCCGGTTTAGACTCGGTTTAGTCCCGGTTTAGACTCAGTTTAGTCCCGGTTTAGACTCGGTTTAGTCCTGGTTTAGACTCGGTTTAGTCCCGGTTTAGACTCCGTAACACTGAAGAAGAGTTTTATTGAAGAACAGGTTTAATATGGAGGACAAATTTCCCCACGAGGACATTAAAATCTCCTTAAGGTTTCACATAAACTCTAATTAAATTAAGCGAGACAAAGACACAGTTTTTATGCACTTCCTCCGAGTTCCGAGTGTTTTAAAAAAAGCCCCAAACGCGCCTTTATTTTGGTCTCATCTTTTATTCGTGGCGTTAATTTAAGTGAACGGCGACCGCAGACTGAAAGATCACCTCATTATTGTGTGCATAATCACGACGCGTTTCCCGACTCGTTTTTTAGAGAAATAAATGGCAGGATTATGGGCGGCGGAGACGGCGGCGCGGCGTGTTCGGGGTGCGGCAGCGGCAGCGGCGTGGGAGCGGCGAGCGCGGGCCACCCATTTATTTGTGTGATAAAGGATGGAAATATGTGTTTTAAAACGGCGCCGAGGGAGAACTCTGCTTTTTAACAACGCAAAGAGACGACCTGAAAACCTCAGAGCGATAAATGGACTCTGCGTGGGACTGGACCGGACTAGACTAAACCGGACTAAGACTTCAGGTCGGAATCTTGATATTATGAACAGGAAAAAAGAGAAATCATAAATAAATGTAACGCAATATTTAGCACAACTTTACAAAAACTGCACCACAGACTGAATAAAGAAGTGGCTTAACTCTTTCCCCCTTGACAGTCCCCCCCTTACGTACGCCGCACGGACCGTTCCTCGCGTCCCGTACGCCACTTGGACCGTTCCCCCGTCCCTTACGCCTCATGGACCGTTCCCCACGTCCCGTACACCACATGGACCGTTCCCCCCGTCCCGTACGCCACATGGACCGTTCCCCCGTGTCCCGTAGGCCGCACAGACCATTCGCTGCATCCCGTACGCTGCACGGACCGTTCCCTGCGTCCCGTACGCCACATGGACCGTTCCTCTTGTCCCGTACGCCACTTGGACCATTCCCCGCGTCCCGTACGCCACATGGACCGTTCCCCGCGTCCCGTACGCCACATGGACCGTTCCCCCCGTCCCGTACGCCACATGGACCGTTCCCCCCGTCCCGTACGCCACATGGACCGTTCCCCGCGTCCCGTACGCCACATGGACCGTTCCTCCCGTCCCCGTACGCCACATGGACCGTTCCCCCGTTCCCGTACGCCACATGGACCGTTCCCCCCCGTCCCGTACGCCACATGGACCGTTCCCCCCGTCCCGTACGCCACATGGACCGTTCCCGCGTCCCGTACGCCACGGACCGTTCCCCCGTCCCGTACGCCACACTGGACCGTTCCCCGCGTCCCGTACGCCACATGGACCGTTCCCCCGTCCCGTACGCCACATGGACCGTTCCCCCCGTCCCGTACGCCACTTGGACCGTTCCTCGCATCCCGTACGCCACGTGGATAGTCCTCTCCTGTTCCGTACGCCACATGGACCATTCCCCGCGTCCCGTACGCCACATGGACCATTCGCCGCATCCCGTACGCCACATGGACCGTTCGCCGCGTCCCGTACGCCACATGGACCGTTCGCCGCGTCCCCTACGCCACATGGACTGTTCCCCCCGTCCCCTACGCCACATGGACCGTTCCCCCCGTCCCCTACGCCACATAGACCGTTCCCCACGTCCCGTACGCCACATGGACCGTTCCCCGTGTCCCGTACGCCGCATGGACCGTTCCCCCCGTCCCCTACGCCACATGGACCGTTCCCCCCGTCCCCTACGCCGCATGGACCGTTCCCCCCGTCCCCTACGCCGCATGGACCATTCCCCGTGTCCCGTACGCCGCATGGACCATTCCCCGTGTCCCGTACGCCACATGGACCGTTCCCCACATCCCGTACGCCACGCGGATAGTCCTCTCCTGTCCCGTACGCCGCATGGACCATTCCTTCCATCCCGTGCACCACACGGACCGTTCCACCCGTCCCGTACTCCGCGCGGACAGTCCCTCCCCAAGGACTAAACCAGGTCTAAAAACAGGTCTAAAACAAGGACTAGAACAGGATTTAGCCAGGACTTAAACATGCCGCCGGACCACGCGCCGCGCCTCCCCCCGTACGCAGCCCGGTTTCTTTCGCTTCTCCGTGTTTGATAGAGTTTAAGAAAGGTTCCCATCCTGCGGGACTCGCGTGCGGGAGCGGGATGGAGACCCCAAAGAAACTCCAAACAGTTTAATTCAGAACAGTTAATTCGGAATTTAAAAAAAAAACAACGTGACCAATGAAAAGAAACGACTCGAACATGGTTAAATCTCCTAAAAGTGCATTGAACTGGTCGCGGTCTGGAGCGTCTGACTGAAGGCTCAGCTCAAACATAAAAAGTGAGAATATGTGGAGCCTCCATTTTGTTTGTGCTCGTCAAATTGAGCGTGAAATTGCAGTGCATTGTGGGAGAGTCAGGTCATTAATTTGTTTATAAAGAAACGAGGGGGAGGCCGAGTCGGAAATGATGAGAAATTAGAAAAGGTGAAGTATAAATATGAGAGAAATTAAACAAAAAAAAAAAGATGAGCGCGAAGATGAATGTCCCGAGGCATCGTGGGAAATGTGGTCCACTTCATCAGTTTGTTTGGTTTTTGTTCAACTACTGGACTGGATCAGTACTGTTCTGGGTCTGGTTTGGTTTAGACCTGGTTTAGTTCCAGTTTAGTTCTGGTTTAGTCCCGGTTTTGTTCCGGTTTAGTCCTGGTTTAGGCTTATTTTAGTTCTAGTTTAATCCTGGTTTAGTCCCAGTTTAGTTCTGGTTTAGTCCTGCTTTTAGTCTTCCTTTTGTCCTGGTTTAGTCCTGATTTAATCCTGATTTAGTCCTGGATTAGTTCTGGTTTAGTTCTGGATTACTTGTGGTTTAGTCCTGGTTTGATTTAGACCTGGTTTAGACTTTTTTTTTTTTTTTTTTTTAGTCCCAGTTTAGTTCTGGTGTAGCCTTTGTTTAGTTCTGATTTAGTCCTGATTTAATCCTGGTCTAGCCCCAGTTTAGTTCTGGTTTAGTCCTGGTTTAGTCCTGGTTCAGTCCTGGTTTAGTCCTGGTTTAGTCCTGGTTCAGTCCTGGTTCAGTCCTGGTTTAGTCCTGGTTCAGTTCCTGGTTCGGTCCTGGTTCGGTCCTGGTTCAGTCCTGGTTTAGTCCTGATTCGGTCCTGGTTCAGTCCTGGTTCAGTCCTGGTTCAGCCCTAGTTTATTTCAGTAGATCTTTGTATTATCTTTGTTTTTTGTGTGTTTTTTTTGTAGCGTACATCGAGGACCTGGCCCGGAGCGTGGAACAGTCTCGTCGTCTCCTCTTCGTCCTGACGCCGGAGTTCGTGGCCAAACGCGGCTGGAGCATTTTCCAGATCGAGACTCGACTCCACGCGATGCTCGTCACCGGGAGATCAAGGTGACGCACACGCCTCCGCCCCCGCCGCCGCCGCCGCCACCGGGAACGGAACGGACCCACTCTTTTACAACCGTCTCCGCCCAAACTTTACCCACGCTCTCCGTCGCTTTTTATTCTCCCTGGATTTCTCTCTCTCTTTCTCGCTGTTTTACGTTTTCCTTCTCTCTCTCTTTTCTCTTTTTTTCTGTCTCTCTCCACCTCTTACCTTTTCTCTCTTTCTCCACTCATTCCCTCCCTCCTTCTCTCTCTCTTCCTTTTCTTTCTCTTTCCTCTTTTGCTCTCCAACCTCTCTCTTTCTTTCTCTTCTCTCTCTCTTCTCTTCTCACTTTCTCTCTTTTTCTCTTTTCACTCTCTCTTCTCTCTCTCTTCTTCTCTGTTCTCTCTCCCTCCATCTCTTCCTCCCTCTCTCTCTTCTCCTTCCCCCCCCCCACTCTCTCTCTCCTCCTCTCACCCCCTCTTTCTTTCTTTCTTTCTCTTTCTCACTCGCTCCCTTTATCTCTTTTCACTCTCTCTTTCTCTTTCTTTTCTCTCTTCTTCTTCTCTTCTCTGTTCTCTCTCCCTCCATCTCTCCCTCCCTCTCTCTTTTCTCCTTTCTCTCCCTCACTCTTCTCTCCTCCTCTCACCCTCATATTTTGCTCTCTCTCTCTCCCATTCCCTCTTTTTTCTCTTCTCCATTCTCTCTACTCTTTCCCCCTCTCTCTCCCTCCCTTCCTCCCTTTTTCTCTGCTCTTCCTCTCTGCATCCTTCTCTTTCTTCTCTTCTTTTTATCTCCCTCTCTCCTCTTTCTTTCCTCTCTCTTTTCTTTTCCTTCTCTTTCCTCTTTTGCTCTCCAACCTTTTCTTTCTCTCTCTTTCTCTTCTCACTCTCTTTCTTCTTCTTCTCATTTTCTCTCTCCCTCCATCTCTTCCTCCCTCTCCCTTGTCTCCTTTCTCTCCCTCACTTTCTCTTCTCCTCTCACCCTCATATTTTGCTCTCTCTCTCCCCATTCCCTCTTTTTCTCTCTCCGTTTTCTCTCCTCTTTCGCTCTCTTTTTTCCCCCTCTCTCTCCCTTTCCCTGTCTTTCCTCTTTTGCTCTTCCCCTTTCTTTGTTTTTCTCTTCCCCTCTCTCTCTCTCTTTCTCTTCTCTGTTCTCTCTCCCTCAATCCCTTCCTCCCTCCTTTCTCTCCCCCTTTTTTATTCTTCCCTTTTTCCATCGATTTCTCTCTCTCTTTCTCGCTGTTTACGTTTTCCTTCCCTCTCTCTTTTCTCTTTTTTCTGTCTCTCTCCACCTCTTACCTTTTCTCTCTTTCTCCACTCATTCCCTCCCTCCTTCTCTCTCTCTTTCTCTTCTCACTGACCTTTTCTCTTCTCACTTTCTCTCTCTTTCTCTTTTCACTCTCTCTTCTCTCTCTCTTGTTCTCTTCTCTGTTCTCTCTCCCTCCATCTCTTCCTCCCTCTCTCTCTCCACCTCTCACCCCCGTATTTTGCTCTCTCCCTTTCCCTCTCTTTTCTGTATCCTCCCCTCTCTCTTTCTTTTCTCTCTCTCTCTCTCTCTCTTTCTTCTTCTCTTCTCCTTTCTCTCCCCCACTTTCTCTTCTCTTCTCACCCTCTTATTTTGCTCACTCTCTCTCTCTCTCTCTCTCTCTCCCCATTCCCTCTTTTTCTCTTCTCTGTTCTCTCTCCTCTTTTGCTCTTCCCCCCTTCTTTCTTTTGTTCTTCTCTCTCTCTTGTTCTCTTCTCACTTTCTCTCTTTTCTCTTTTCACTCTCTCTTTCTCTTTTCACTCTCTCTTCTCTCTCTCTTCGTTCTCTTCTCTGTTCTCTCTCCCTCCATCTCTTCCTCCCTCTCTCTCTCCACCTCTCACCCCCGTATTTTGCTCTCTCCCTTTCCCTCTTTCTCTCTTTTCTGTATCCTCCCCTCTCTCTTTCTTTTCTCTCTCTCTCTCTCTCTTTCTTCTTCTCTTCTCCTTTCTTTCCCCCATTTTCTCTTCTCTTCTCACCCTCGTATTTTGCTCTCTCTCTCTCTCTCTCCCCATTCCCTCTTTTCTCTTCTCTGTTCTCCCTCCCTTTCCCTCTCTTCCTCCTTTGCTCTTCCCCTCTTCTCTCTCTCTTCTCTGTTCTCTCTGCCTTCATCTCTCTCCTCTTTCTTTCCTCGCTCTCTTCCTTTTCTTTCTCTTTCCTCTTTTGCTCTCTCTCTCTCTTTCTCTTCTCACTGACTTTTTCTCTTTTCACTTTCTCTCTTTCTCTTCTCTCTTTCTTCTCCTCTTCTCACCCTCGTATTTTGCTCTCTCTCTCTCTTTCCCATTCCCTCTTTTTCTCTTCTCGTTCTCTCTCCTCTTTTCGCTCTTTCCTGCTCTCCCTCCCTTCCCTCCCTTTTCTTCTGCATCCTTTTCTTTTTTGTCTTCTCTCTCTATCTCCCTCTCTCTCCTCTTTCTTTCCTCTCTCTCTTCCTTTTCCTTTCTTTCCTCTTTTGCTCTTCTCCCCCTCTCTCCTTTCTCTTCCCCTCTCTCTCTCTCTTCTCTTCTCCATTCTCTTCTCTTCCTCCTCTCTCTTTTCTCCCCTTTTCTTTCTCCTCCTCTCACCCCGATATTTTACGCTCTCACCTCTCTCTCTCTCTCTCTCTCTCTCTCTCTCTCTCCTCCTCCTCTCATCATCCCTCTCTTCCTTTCTCTTCTCTTCTCTCTCTCGTTCTCTTCTCCATTCTCTCTTCCTCCATCCCTCCCTCCCTCCTTTTCTCTCCCCTTTTCTTTCTCCTCCTCTCACCCCGATATTTTACGCTCTCACCTCTCTCTCTCTCTCTCTCTCTCTCTCTCTCTCTCTCCTCCTCCTCCTCTCATCATCCCCTCTTCTTTCTCTTCTCTTCTCTCTCTCGTTCTCTTCTCCATTCTCTCTTCCTCCATCTCTTCCTCCCTCTCTCTTTTCTCCCCTTTTCTTTCTCCTCCTCTCACCCCGATATTTTACGCTCTCACCTCTCTCTCTCTCTCTCTCTCCTCCTCCTCCTCTCACCATCCCTCTCTTCTTTCTCTTCTCTTCTCTCTCTCTCGTTCTCTTCTCCATTCTCTCTTCCTCCATCCCTCCTCCCTCCTTTTCTCTCCCCTTTTCTTTCTCCTCCTCTCACCCCGATATTTTACGCTCTCACCTCTCTCTCTCTCTCTCTCCTCCTCCTCTCATCATCCCTCTCTTCTTTCTCTTCTTTCTCTCTTCGTGTTTCAGGTCGTCATGATCGAGTGTCCGGACTTGAAGAACGTGATGAACTATCAGGAGGTGGAGGCGCTCAAACACACCATCAAGGTGAAACGTTTCTCTCCACACGCTGCACTTTTTTACTCTTTTTTTGTTTTTTTTGTTTTTTTCTTAATTTTGCTTCATTAAAACTCCTCCTTTTTCCCCTAATGAAGTGTTATCCATCCTTTTTTATTTTCACGACAACCTGTTGTTTCACAATCTGCTGCTGGAGTTTGGTCACATGACTGGAATAAAAACTACAAAACCAGAAATACACATGAAAAACTGAAAATAAAATTCACACTTTTTCAAACAAACACACAGCGAACGTGTAGATGTGTTCGGTCAAGTGTTAACGGATTTTTGACATTCAAATGTCTCTTATTCAGAAACTAGAGGAACTATTGAAATAAGTAAAGTATCAGAATGTAGGAAAGAGTTACACTCCAACAGGGTCAAGTTAAACCTGTCATTTCTTTCAAGTTGTTGACAAAAAATTTAAAAACTCATGTCGGTAACGGAGGGAATGAAATATGCAGCACTTTTTGGTCAATAAATCCAAAACAGTGATAACTCTTGGTTCTCACTTCCATATCCTTAACAAACTGGTTTGAATATTTGCTTCATATAGTTTTCTACCATATGGTACAAGATTAGGTTGAAAAACCTCTGACTTTTTGACTCATGAGATTTTTTATTAAGAAAGTTCATGGTAACGGAGGGAAAAGTAACGGAGGGAAAATTGTACAAACAAGTAGAAGGTGCAGGATTTTACATCATTTGTCACTTTTTTCTTCTGAATACTTTAATATTACTTCAAAATGAAAGGAAACTATTTCTATAAAATATGTCAGTCCTTCCAAGCAACATTTTTATCATTTTAAATACTTTTTTTTTTTTAAAATCATGTACCTTCATCAACAGTTCAAAGATGGAATAACACAAGATATGATGAAATACATCCATTTATTTACATCAGACATGTCCAAACTATGGCCCCTCAGACACATTTTTCTTGGCCCTCAGACTTCCAGGTGAAATGGCCCAAATGACCTTACATCAATTAAAAAAACATTTTTTACTGCAAGTTTTTTTGAAAATCTACCTTGATAAATCTCATATTGGTTTGGTTTTAAGGATCTTAGGGTGAATAAAGGACTGATGGTTCATTCCAACGTGTTAAACATGAACATGTTTCAGTTATTTCCTGTACTGAGCTCCAGTCTGTGGCCCTCGATCGGCCCCTGTGCTTCATCTGTGTTTAAAGATGTGGCCCTTGATGAAAAAACTTTGGACACCCCTGATTTACATGATTTTCAGGTCTTTGAAATTTGAGAAATAATTTTTTGTTCCATGTTTCATACATGGTCTGTTTAAAACAGATGGAACTTTAGAACCAAAAATGGAACAGAAAAAAGGTGAACAGTTTGATAAACTAGAGAACATATGTATCTGTTCAATACTATTTTATATCAGATGAATTCACTTGAAGTTTTGGCCTCTGCTTGATCGGCCCATTTGTTCTCGCCTGGATTTTTTTCTTAATTTTGCTTCATTAAAACTGCCTCTTTTACCCCTAATGAAGAGTTACACAGCTTTTTTTTTTTTTTTTTTTTAAACTAAAACCTGTTATTTCACAATCTGCTGCTGTAGTTGTGTCATATGACTGAAATAAAAACTACAGGACCAAAAATACTCATGAAATAAATAAATACATAAATAAAAATTAAATTTAATAATAATAATGTAAAATTCACACTTCTTCATACAAAACACACAGCAAACATGTATAAACAACTTTTTAGACATTAAAAAAAAAAGTTTAATTTAGAGCCTTAGCTACAAAAGTGTAAAATATCAAGTCTGTGAATAAACTCCAAATATTGTTATTGCCTCAAAACAAAGAGAAAAATGCAGCGTAAATCCATGTGTCATTCGTTCATTTGTTTTTCAATATAAAACCAAAAATAAGAAAACGAAAAAACAACAGATTTCTTCATTATTTGTCTCTAAAACCAAAATGAAAAAATGGATAATGATTCGTTTTTTTCAGTTTTCGATTTTGTGTTTAAAGGTTGTATAGAGGATTTTTTTAAGGGAAGAGAAATACAGCGACAGTTCTTTTACAAATATTGTGCATGGGTGACACCACCTTCATCCTCCACAGCTCCCTCTGTAGAAACACTCCTCCCGCCTCTTTACTCTAAAAATCACATGTCTTTTTAACGGCCAGTGCCCGTTCAGAATTACTGTTGAAATGACCTGTCTAGAAATAATTTAGCAACCGACGCGTCAGTTTTTAGACCCTTTGTCCGCTTCATTCACGCAATCACTGGAAGGAATCTCCAAGAATCACCTCGGTTTGTCTTCGCTTCTTTTCCCCTTCTCTTCTTCTTTCAGCGACCTCAAAAACCGACTTTCTTTTGCGGCGAACTTGTCGTGGATTCTCGTCCGCCATCGCAACAAACTTTGTGCGAAATGTGAGGAAGCTACAATTTGAAAAAGCCTCTAAGAACCGCTGCATAAACCACGTGATCCCCGCACCCCGACGAGTCAGTTACACTAGAAACGTAGGGAGTTTGATTGACAACCTGACAGCCAATAGATAAAGAGGCAGCCTCGTTTTCTATTGGCTGATGTTTATCTGGCCTCAACACGTCCACAGTTGATAAATTTTCATTCTTTTTTTTTTTTGGTCATCATAATTACAAGGCTGCTGCAGCTCTGTAATGGTATTTTAAACTTTCATTGACAATTTGAAAAAAAAAAAAAAAAATCCTCCATACAACCTTTAAATGAAGAATGGAAAAAAACGGATAACGGCCGTTTCCCGTTTACGTGACTTCAGTGACTGCGATGCCGGACTTTTGTTCTGCATACGGACTGAACCAGGACTGATCCAGACTGGGACCAGACCGGCACCAGAGCGGAACTGAGACCAAGGCCAGACCAGGACCAGGCCGGGACCAGACCGGGACCAGACCGGAGGCTCAGAGCCCACAGCAGGGCTGGAGCTCGAAGCTGAGGCTCGGAGTCCGCTCTGGTCCCGCTCTGGTCCCGGTCTGGTCCCGGTCTGGTCCCGGACCTGGATCAGTCCTGGTTCAGTCCGTATGCGGAGCAAAAGTCCGGCATCGCAGTCACAGAAGTCACGTAAACGGGTTATTTTATGGAATTAAATTTATGAATTATGCAATTTTGTTTGTTTTAATCTTTATTTATACAGTGAGTCGTAAGTGAAATCGTAAATGCAAAAAAAAACAAACAGACAAACAAAAAAAAAAGAAACATATATTACATTTAACAATAAAAATTCAACCATTAAAACGGCGATATGTGAAATGTTGATTAAGGTTGAGTTAAACAGAAAGTTCAAACAATACAAGTGTTTTAAAGTGTGCTGGTTCAGGGACTGCAGATGGAAACTCGATGTTTAGCTCTAATCCAGCGCAGAACATCTCTGTTTTTAATGACTTTAACGTCTGTGCACATTGTCTCTTCAAATAAAGTATAAACTCAACTATAAGCAGAAGATAAGTTTAAAAAAGGAGAGTTATGTGCCTGCTTCTGTTTATCTCCTGTCTAACTACAATCTGGTGCGGAACATTTGTTTGCAATTACCTTAATGTGCCTTCAGATATAAACTAAACTGAACTAAAAGAAGTAGAAGATAAGGGAAAAGAAAAAAAAAGTAGTAAATATGTTGACTGTTGTGTGTTTGTCTCGTGCGCTCAGGTCCTGACCATCATCAAGTGGAGAGGTCCCAAAAGCAACGACCTGTCCTCAAAGTTCTGGAAGCAGCTGGTTTATGAAATGCCGTCCAAACGCAGAGAGACTCTGTCCAGACGACAGGTACGAACTGGGACACTTTAAACACACACTTTAAACACACACTTTAAACACACACTTTAAACACACACTTTTAAACACACACTTTAAACACACACTTTAAACACACACAGCTACAAACACTTTAAACACACACTTTAAACACACACTTTAAACACACACTAAACACACACAGGTACGAACACTTTAAACACACACAGTTTAAACACACACTTTAAACACACACTTTAAACACACACTTTAAACACACACAGCTACAAACACTTTAAACACACACTTTAAACACACACTTTAAACACACACTTTACACACACACTTTAAACACACACTTTAAACACACACAGGTACAAACACTTTAAACACACACTTTAAACACACACAGCTACAAACACACACTTTAAACACACACAGGTACGAACTGGGACACTTTAAACACACACAGGTACGAACTGGGACACTTTAAACACACACTTTAACACACACTTTAAACACACACAAACACACACAGGTACAAACTGGGACACTTTAAACACACACTTTAAACACACACTTTAAACACACACAGGTACGAACACTTTAAACACACACTTTAAACACACACAGCTACAAACACTTTAAACACACACTTTAAACACACACAGCTACAAACACTTTAAACACACACAGGTACGAACTGGGACACTTTAAACACACACTTTAAACACACACAGCTACAAACACTTTAAACACACACTTTAAACACACACAGGTACGAACACTTTAAACACACACTTTAAACACACACTTTAAACACACACAGGTACGAACTGGGACACTTTAAACACACACTTTAAACACACACAGGTACAAACTGGGACACTTTAAACACACACAGGTACGAACACTTTAAACACACACTTTAAACACACACAGGTACAAACACTTTAAACACACACAGGTACAAACACTTTAAACACACACTTTAAACACACACAGCTACAAACACTTTAAACACACACACAGGTACGAACTGGGACACTTTAAACACACACTTTAAACACACACAGGTACGAACTGGGACACTTTAAACACACACAGGTACGAACACTTTAAACACACACTTTAAACACACACAGGTACAAACACTTTAAACACACACTTTAAACAAACACTTTAAACACACACTTTAAACACACACAGCTACAAACACTTTAAACACACACTTTAAACACACACAGCTACAAACACTTTAAACACACACTTAAAACACACACAGGTACAAACTGGGACACTTTAAAAACACACAGGTACGAACACTTTAAACACACAGAGGTACAAACACTTTAAAGACACAGAGGTACAAACACTTTAAACACACACTTTAAACACACACAGGTACAAACACTTTAAACACAGAGTTACGAACACTTTAAACACACACTTAAAACACACAGAGGTACGATCACTTTAAACACACACAGGTACAAACAGGGACACTTTAAACACACACAGGTACAAACACTTTAAACACACAGGTACAAACACTTTAAACACACAGCTACAAACACTTTAAACACACAGAGGTACAAACACTTTAAACACACAGAGGTACAAACACTTTAAACACACAGAGGTACAAACACTTTAAACACACAGAGGTACAAACAGGGACACTTTAAACACACACAGGTACAAACACTTTAAACACACAGAGGTACAAACACTTTAAACACACAGAGGTACAAACAGGGACACTTTAAACACACACAGGTACAAACACTTTAAACACACAGAGGTACAAACACTTTAAACACACAGAGGTACAAACACTTTAAACACACAGAGGTACAAACACTTTAAACACACAGAGGTACAAACAGGGACACTTTAAACACACACACAGAGGTACGAACACTTTAAACACACAGAGGTACAAACACTTTAAACACACAAAGGTACAAATAGGGACACTTTAAAAACACATTTTAAACATACAGAGGTACAAACACTTTAAACACACACAGGTACAAACAGGGACATTCTGACTCTTTAAATCCACACGTACACACACACAAAACACATTTACAGGCGAAAGAAACAGAGAAAAATCTGAAGAAAATCCGAATCGTGAAGTTGACTGTCAAACTATCAAACGCAAACCCACACAAAAACGACGTCGGCGTCCAAAAATAGCGAATCAAACCTGAGAAACACAACAGCCGATGTCTCGAAAACTAAAGCAGCACAGACGATTGACACTGACTTCACAGAGAGGAAATAAAGAGAAAATAAACGCCGTACTCTGCAAGTATTAGTAAGCACAGTATTTTCTGCACTGTGTTTGCAGGTGATGGACTCGGGGGAGCAGGGTCTGTTCGGGGACCTTCAGACCACGGTGTCCACCATCGCCATGACGACGACCTCCGCCTCTCTGGCCCCGCCCAACGACACTCGGCACGCCCACCACCAGGTAACGGAGCAAATGAGATTACTCCAAGTCCAAGAATGAATAGCTCTGAATTAAAATGTTCTCCCATGAAGTTTACGTGGGAAAACTCGTTAAATCGTCTTTATTTAACGTGTCTCAGCGTCTGGGGGCGGGGAAGGTTCTGATTGGACAGAGACGCCGACGGATTTACGTATTTGGGAAGAAAACGCACACTTCAGCTGATAAAGGCTTTTCTGTCGTCTCGGTTTGTCGTTAATCCACAGCAGTGTTGGGAGTGTTACTTTTAAAATGTAATCCCCTACAGATTACAGATTACACACACCAAAATGTAGTTTAATCTATTAAATTACTTAAAAGTGAGTAATGTAATCTGATTACTTTGGATTACTTGATTTGCTGTAGAGAAACAAAGACGAGGAAATCGAAACATAAAATGTTTTGTCTGATAAAAGAAAATAAAAAGTCCAGACTTTACTGAACCAAATTAAAAATATTATTGATAGAAGAAGAAGAAACACGTCCACACAGCAGGATTTAGACCTGGTTTAGTCCTGGTTTAGACCTGGTTTAGTCCTGGTTTTAGACCTGGTTTAGACCTGGTTTAGACTTGGATTAGACTTGGTTTAGACTTGGTTTAGACCTGGTTTAGACCTGGTTTAGACCTGGTTTAGACTTGGACCTGGTTTTAGATCTGGTTTTAGACCTAGTTTAGACTTGGTTTAGACCTGGTTTTAGTCCTGGTTTAGACTTGGATTAGACTTGGTTTAGACTTGGTTTTAGATCTGGTTTAGACCTAGTTTAGACTTGGTTTAGACCTGGTTTTAGACCTGGTTTTAGACCTGGTTTAGACCTGGTTTTAGACCTGGTTTAGACTTGGATTAGACTTGGTTTAGACCTGGTTTTAGACCTGGTTTAGACCTGGTTTAGACCTGGTTTAGACCTGGTTTTAGTTCTGGTTTAGACTTGGATTAGACTTGGTTTAGACCTGGTATTGGACCTGGTTTTAGTCCTGGTTTAGTCCTGGTTTAGACCTGGTTTTAGTCCTGGTTTAGCCCAAAATGTGAAAACAGGAAAATCCCTCTGTGTAATCCATTTATTTCAACAAAGTAACTGTAATCCAATTCCCACTCACTGAAACAGTAACTGTAACTGAATACAGTTACTCATCATTTGTACTCTGATTACTCTGGTACATGTAATCTGTTACTCCCCAACACTGCTCCACGGACACAAACACGATCCAAACTTTTCCCGCAGTGGTTCTGATGATAATTGTGCAGCAGTTGGAGAATTGTCTCCTCACACTTTACGTCCGTCGTCTGAGGAGGAGAAGAGAAGAAGACGACAAAGTGAGTGTGAAGCTGTTCCACCTCAGCCCCACATCTGCTCACAAATCCAAAGAGACGTGGAGGAAAGTCCCAAGACACGACTGGTGGAGCCGGATCGAAGGACGACACAACGAACACGAACTGAACGACCGACATTATTTTTAACAAGAATAAATAAAAAGGAATAAATTCATTTGGCATTTGTAACAGATTACATGTACCAGAGTAATCAGAGTACAAATGATGAGTAACTGTATTCAGTTACAGTTACTGTTTCAGTGAGTGGGAATTGGATTACAGTTACTTTGTTGAAGTAAATGGATTACACAGAGGGATTTTACTGTTTTCACATTTTGGGCTAAAACCCCTTTTTTTTCTTTTTTTTTTTTTTTGGTAATTCCACTCATTACCAGAACTAAACCAGAACTAAACCAGGTCTAAAACCAGGTCTAAACCAGGACTAAACCAGGTCTAAACTAGATCTATACCAGGTCTAAACCAGGTCTAAACCAGGTTTAAAACCAGGTCTAAAACCAGGTCTAAACCAGGACTAAACCAGGTTTAAAACCAGGTCTAAAACCAGGTCTAAACCAGGACTAAACCAGGTCTAAAACCAGGTCTAAACCTAGGTCCAAACTAGGTCTAAACCAGATCGAAACCAGGTCTAAACCAGGTCTAAAACCAGGTCTAAAACCAGGTCTAGACCAGGTCTAAATCATGTCTCAAACAGGATTTAACAGGACTAAATCCTGCTGTGTGGACGTGTTTCTTCTTCTTCTATCAATAATATTTTTAATTTGGTTCAATAAAGTCTGGACTTTTTATTTTCTTTTATCAGACAAAACTTCTTATGTGAAGATTTCCTCGTCTTTGTTTCTCTACAGCAAATCAAGTAATCCAAAGTAATCAGATTACATTACTCACTTTAAGTAATTTAATGGATTACATTACAAACTACATTTTGGTGTGTGTAATCTGTAATCTGTAGGGGATTACATTTTAAAAGTAACACTCCCAACACTGCTGTGGATTAACGATAAACTGAGACGACAGAAAAGCCTTTATCATCTGAAGTGTGGTTTTCTTCTGATCGACGTAAATCCGTCGGCGTCTCTGTCCAATCAGAACCTTCCTCCAGACGCTCAGACACGTTAAATAAAGACGATTTAACGAGTTTTCCATGTAAACTTCAATTCAGAATGATTATTTCCATGTAAACTCCAAGGAGAATATTTTAATTCTGAACAATTAATTCGGAATTACAAAACATCATGTAAACGTGGCCATTGTTTTATGTCCCAGTCCTGTGAAATGTTCCACAGTAGGCCTTTAAGTGTTTCTTGTTGTTCTCTCTCTTTCCTCAGGTTGCCTTGGCGACAGAGATCCCGGACTATAACCAGATGACTTTACCTCTGGGGGGCGGTCACGCCACGGCGGCGCAGATGAGGCATTTCTGTCGCAGCTACGAGTTCCAGCTGCCCCCGCAGGCCCCGCCCCTGACCCCGCCCCTCGCCCCGCCCACCACCGTGCAGTTCTCCACGCTGGGCCCCGGGGGGCGCCACGTGTACTGCAACATCCCCATGACTCTGCTGAACGGACAGGTACCTGAAGAAGAGGTTCAGTCGCCGCAAAAACTCCTGAACATCTACACGACGTTTAGAGACTTGAGTTCAGGACGTTTGTCTTCACTGTTTTATTGACGAGTTTAGTTTATCTCTCTGCTCTTCTCGCTCTTTTTCTTTCTCTCCTGCCCTTTCTCTGTCCCTCCTCATCAGAGCTTCAATTCAGATCAAAAATAATTTAATTCGAAATGAAAAATAATTCCACTTTAAAAACACTTAATTCCCAATGATTACTCGGAATTAAACTTAAATCCAAATGAAGTGGGTGGCTCATTCCGATTTTAAAGCCAAATTAATTTACTCCGCGATCATATAAATGTTTATTCCTCTTAAAAAATGATTCCGGTCGTTCAGCTCGTGCTTGTTGGGTCGGCCTTTTGACGCAATGACGCACAGGACGGTGAAAAAAGTTTGGATCGTGTGTGCGTCGGGGTCGGTCCCTCTGTTGCCCGGTACAGATGTAAATGCGAAAGGTACGGAGTTTCCCCCGTTAACTTATCATCATGAACTCATAAAACTAGTGACGGCGAACGGAGCCTCGTGAAGCATCGACACCTCAGTGGTGATATTGTCTCAAACGGTTCGACGTGTCTGAGGAGAAACACTGACCTGAAGAAAAACAACAGTTTCTTCATTATTTGTCTCCAAAACTAAAATGAAAAAACAGATAATGATTCGTTTTTTCAGTTTTCGATTTTGTGTTTAAATGGATAAACAGATAAACCAGGACTAAACCAGGTCTAAACCAGGACTAAAACAGGTCTAAACCAGGTCTAAACCAGGTCTAAACCAGGACTAAAACAGGTCTAAACCAGGACTAAACCAGGACTAAACCAGGTCTAAACCAGGTCTAAACCTGGACTAAACCAGGTCTAAAACCAGGACTAAAACAGGACTAAACCAGGTCTAAACAAGGACTAAACCAGGACTAAACCAGGTCTAAAACCAGGTCTAAACCAGGTCTAAACCAGGACTAAACCAGGTCTAAACCAGGACTAAACCAGGACTAAAACAGGTCTAAACCAGGACTAAACCAGGTCTAAACCAGGTCTAAACCAGGTCTAAACCAGGACTAAACCAGGTCTAAACCAGGTCTAAACCTGGACTAAAACCAGGTCTAAACCAGGACTAAACCAGGACTAAACCAGGATTAAACCAGGTCTAAACCAGGACTAAACCAGGTCTAAACAAGGACAAAACCAGGACTAAACCAAGTCTAAACCAGGTCTAAACCAGGACTAAACCAGGACTAAACCAGGACTAACTAAACCAGGTCTAAACCAGGACTAAACCAGGTCTAAAACCAGGTCTAAACCAGGACTAAACCAGGTCTAAACCAGGTCTAAACCAGGACTAAACCAGGTCTAAACCAGGTCTAAACCAGGTCTAAACCAGGTCTAAACCAGGACTAAACCAGGTCTAAACCTGGACTAAACCAGGTCTAAACCAGGACTAAACCAGGACTAAACCAGGTCTAAACCAGGTCTAAACCAGGACTAAACCAGGACTAACACAGGACTAAACCTGGTCTAAACAAGGACTAAAGCCGGACTGAACCAGTCTGAGGACTGAGTGTCGGGACAGGTCTGGCGGTGCACCCGTATAGACCATCAGGTGATCAGGACTGAGACCGGAACCAGACCGGGACTGAGACCAGGAATGAGACCAGAACTAGACCTGGACTGAGATCGGGACTGAGACCAAGACTGGGACCAGACCGGAACCGAGACTGGGACCAGACCAAGACTGAGACTTGGACTGAGACTGAGACTGAAACCGATTTAGTCGTGATTTAGTCCTGGTTCAGTCCTGGTTCAGTCCTGGTTTAATCCTGGTTTAGTCTTGGTTTAGACCTGGTTTAGTCTTTTTTTTTTTTGGGTTTGGAGACAAATAATGAAGAAAATAGTAGCTTTTTTGTTTTCTTATTTTTGGTTTTATTTTGAAAAAACGAATGAACGAACGACACGCGGATCACGATCGTCGCTGTAACTCTCCGACAATCCATCCAACGGTGCGGCTGAAACATTTTGACAGATTTTTGAGCGCCGTGTAGCACAAAAAGTCAGTTTGAGGTCAGTAAACACAACTAGAATTAATACATAAAGCGGATTTTAACATTAAAATTAAAAGTCTGTAAGTTGTTTCTCCAAACGTCTTTCTGAGTCTTTTCTCATGTTGACCAGCAGGTGTCAGAAAAGCTACACAGCGAATCTTTAAAACTGACTCAAATGATAAAGATAAAGTCCTAAACTGAAGTCTTTCGCTCGTGCAGATGTAAATGTGAGGGTTTTTTTTGCGGCGTGCATGACTTGGACCCTTTCCTGTGCATGGACTCACCCTCTTCTCTCCCCAGGGCCTCGCTCCAGTGCACTGGGGAACAAGAGGTCTGGAACTCAACTCTTCATTCATTCATTCATTTATTTTAACAGACTTACCCTTCATACACGCATCAAGAATCTCGGACTTCCGGTCATCGCGCAATTCACACTGGGAAAATCCTCCACGTTTGTTTTCCCAGTGGGATGCGTCTATTGTCAAAGTCGATCTTTTCAAGTCTTTTGAACCGTGTCGCTTTTGTTTCTGGTTCTGATATTGTCATATTTTTTAGTTTTGGGATTCGGACGTCGTTAATTGTTGTGGTTGTTGGATCCTAACAGCGGAAAACGGCTCGAGAGGTTTGTTTGCGAACTCCATAAATGCAAAAGTGAATCAGATGTGTGTGACTCAAACCTCTGTTCAAACTGTTTCTCTTCACAACGGAATTGAAAAATAGTGAAAGGTGAAGGTGATGAAGAACCAAAAAGGAAACATTTGACTGACTAAATCATCCTGAGTTTGCAGTGAACATTTTGTATGTGGAGCGACAACAAAGCAAAATCCCGTTTGTTAAAGGTTGTATGGAGGATTTTTTTTGTTTCAAATTGTCAGTGATAGATTATAGATGCAGTCGCCTTGTAATTATGATGACCAAAAAAAAGAGAATAAAAATTCATCAACTCTGGACGTGGTGGGGCTAAACATTTGCCAATAGATAACGACACTGCCTCGTTATCTGTGAGCTGACAGGCTGTCAATCAAACTCCCTACGTTTCTAGTGTAACTGACTTGCCTGCGCCGCCGGTACGTGGTTTACGTACGACTGTCACACAGTCCACAGACGCAAGACGCACAGACGCTGTTTACTCCACCAACGCAACAGTTCTTAGCGGCTTTTTTTGACCTATATCTTCCTCGCAGTTCACACAAAGTTTGTTGCAATGACGACAAGAATCCAGGAGCAGTTCGCCGCAAAAGAAAGTCCGTTTTTGAGGTCGCTGAAAGAAGAAGACAAGGGGAAAAGCAGCGAAGCCAAACTAAGGTGATTCTTGAAGATTCATTCCAGCGATGGCGCGACTGAAGCAGACGAAGAGGTCTAAAGACTGAACCACTGGTCCACAAATTACTCCTGGACAGGAAACTTCTGCTTATTATGAAAACGTACTTTATTTCCAAGAGCTTAGACAAACGTTTTTCAGGACACGAAATGTGATATCCTATGTCTGAAAACGTAATTTTCAATGCAAAGAAAGAGTCCACTTGCTGCTGCGTGTTGTAGTAGTAGCTTCATTCGCACTGAATCTCCGAGCACCCTTCTCTGCTCCCTGCTCCCTGCTCCGCTCTTCCCGCTGCTCCTCACTTCTTCTCCGCGCACGAAATGTCCGCGCACCCCCTCCCTCCGCTCCTCACTTCTCCGTCTTGTCTAACCAACACTGTAGTTAGTTGTTTACAAGTCATGTGCAGTGATGAGGACTTGTTTTCAAGAAACAAACCTGTTGATCCTGCTTGAACATTGACTTTGACTTTACTGACGAAACACACCGAGCTCAGCAGGACGAAGGTTTGAATTATTGTGCACAAGCTGAATGTCGACACTGACGGCCAGTTCTTAACTTGTAACAAATGTTCTATTTTTACCTCCGCCAAGGAGGTTATGTTTTTGACAGCGTTTGTCTGTTTGTTTGTTTGTTTGTTTGTTTGTTTGTTTGTTTGTCTGTTTGTTTGTCTGTGTGTTTGTTTGTCTGTTTGTTTGTTTGCTGTTTGTTTGTTTGTTTGTTTGTTTGTTTGTCTGTTTGTATTTTGTTTGTTTGTCTGTTTGATATCTGTTCATAACTCAAAAAGTTATGGACCGATTTTGATGAAATTTTCAGGATTTGTTGGAAATGTGAAAAGGAAGAACTGATTTCATTTTGGGGCTGATCCGGAAGAAATCCTGGATTCTGGATCACTTTGAAATTTTAGTTTAACATTGTGGTAAATGGGGCCAAACATTTTGTTTCTCAATATCTGGGTTAATTATTGACCAAACCCCATGAAATTTGACTCAGGGATGGACAATGGGATCCTCTTTCATATTCCAAAGGCTGATCCGGATCTGATCCAGAAGACTGATTTTATCACAATTTATATAAAAAATGGGGGTAGTCCTTGGCGGAGGTCTGCGCTCTCTGACTGCTTTTCTAGTTATTTTTATTTCAATTTTTTATTCAATACAAATCAAGCTTTGCTCATTTCTGTCTCCAGTCATCTCATTTACTCTTGTTATTATTCCTGTTGTAGTCCTTGAGAACCTAGTGCCTGGTCCAAACTATCAGATTACTTTACTGTACTATTCTTGAGTTGACTTTTTAAATTCGTAACTGAGGTTGAGCGAGGGATGATGTCGCTCCACATACAAAATGTTCTCTGCAAACTCGGGATGATTTAGTCAGTCAAATGTTTCCTTTTTGGTTCTTCCTGTGGATCAATCCTGCCCATCGCCTTCACCTTTCACTATTTTTCAATTCCGTTGGGAAGAGAAACAGTTTGAACAGAGGTTTGACTCACACACATCTGATTCACTTTTGCATCTATGAAGTTCGCAAACAAATTTTCTCGAGCCGTTTTCCGCTGTTAGGATCCAACAACCACAACAATTAACGACGTCCGAATCCCAAAACTAAAATATGACAATATCAGAACCAGAAACAAAAGTGATATGGTTCAAAAGACTTGAAAAGACTTTGACAATAGACGCATCCCACTGGGAAAACAAACATGGAGGTTTGACGCTCACTTTTTCGGAAAATCCTTCTCAGTGTGAATTGCGCGATGACCGGAAGTCCGAGATTCTTGATGCGTGTATTAAAAGCATGCCCTGGTTAAATAAGATAAGGAGTGAATGTTTTTGTTTGTTTGTTTGTTTGTTTTTTGCATGCTACAGCAGAGGTCGGTTCTGTCCTGTCCTTAGATGTTTAATTTTTCTTTTTTGTTTATTGCTAAAGATCAGATCTGTTTGTGTTTTGGATTGAATTTGTGATGTGCGTTCAGTTTTTTTCCTGCCCACTTCATCAGTCTGATCTGAATTTAAATTAAAATCACCCGTAACTATGGAGTAAGAAGAAAAGCTCTCAGAAATATCCGTGTGCGTAGGAGAGAAGTCCGTGAATATTTGTCTGTAGTTGAGCATAAAATAAATATTTCTAAAGTCTCAAATGAATTCGAAATAAAATGTATTGTGTGTGTTTTATCCATCAGAACACGAATTGAGAAGTTACGACATCAAGAATTACAATCATGAAATGAAAATGTGATTGTATGAATAAAACAGGTCTAAACCAGGACTAAAACAGGACTAAACCAGGACTAAACCAGGACTAAACCAGGACTAAACCAGGACTAAAACAGGTCTAAACCAGGACTAAACCAGGACTAAAACAGGACTAAAACCGAACTGAACCAGGATGGGAAGGGCCCGGAGGTGCGCCCCTGTAGACCGTCGGGTGACCACAGGCAAAAGGACCAGTGGCTGATGCCAAGTCCAAGATTAGTCCTGGTTTAGACCTGGTTTAGACCTGGTTTAGTCCTGGTTTAGTCCTGGTTTAGTCCTGGTTTAGTCCTGGTTTAGACATGCTTTAGTCCTGGTTTAGTCCTGGTTTAGTCCTGGTTCAGTCCTCGTTTAGTCTTGGTTTAGTCCTGGTTTAGTCCTGATTCAGTCCTGGTTTAGTCCTGATTCAGTCCTGGTTTAGTCTTGGTTTAGTCCTGGTTTAGTCTTGGTTTAGTCCTGGTTCAGTCCTGGTTTAGTCTTGGTTTCAGTTCTGGTTTAGTCCTGGTTTAGACCTGGTTTAGTCCTGGTTTTGTCCTTTTTTGGCCCTGGTTTAGACCTGGTTCAGTCCTGGTTTTGTCCCAGTTTAGTCCTGGTTTAATTCTGGTTCAGTCCTGGTACAGTCCTGGTTTAGTCCTGGTTTTGTCCTGGTTTAGTCCTGGTTTAGATCTGGTTTAGACCTGGTTTTAGTTCTGGTTTAGTTCTGGTTTAGTCCTGGTTTAGTCCCTGGTTTAGACCTGGTTTAGTCCTGGTTTTGGTTTACCCGGTTTACTCCTGGTTTAGTCCTGGTTTTGTCCCGGTTTAACTCCTGGTTTAGTCCTGGTTTAGACCTGGTTTAGATCTGGTTTAGACCTGGTTTAGTCCTGGTTTACTCCTGGTTTAGTCCTAGTTTAGTACTGGTTCAGTCCTCGTACAGTCCTGGTTTAGGCCTGGTTTTGTCCCGGTTTAGTCCTGGTTTAGTCCTGGTTTAGACCTGGTTTAGTTCTGGTTTAGTCCTGGTTTAGACCTGGTTTAGTCCTGGTTTACTCCTGGTTTAGTCCTGGTTTAGTCCTGGTTTAGACCTGGTTTAGTTCTGGTTTAGTCCTGGTTTAGTCCTGGTTTAGTCCTGGTTTAGTCCTGGTTTAGTCCTGGTTTAGTTCTGGTTTAGTCCTGGTTTAGTCCTGGTTTAGTCCTGGTTTAGTCCTGGTTTAGTCCTGGTTTAGTCCGGCATCACAGTTTAAGTCACGTAAATGGCCGTTTCCATTTTTCATTTAAACACAAATTTGAAAAAAAATTAAAAAATAAAATAAATAAAAACGAATCATTGTCCGTTTTTTTTTTTTTTTTTTTTCATTTTAGTTTTGGAGACAAATAATGAAGAAAATCGTAGTTTTTTTCATTTTCTTATTTTCGGTTTTATTTTTTCAAAACCAAAAGAACGAACGACACGCGGATTCGTCGTCGTTTGTTTTGTTTCGTTTTTTTTTATCGTGACGTACTTTTACTTTTTCCGTGTTTTATTTTGAAATTCCGTGCACACCTGTGGCGCTGACCTCTGCCGCATGCTCTTTTGGTTTTCCTTTAAACTTTCACCATTTGCAATTCCCCCTCCAACGCTAAAACTTTCTCTAACGCTTGTTCTCCGTGTTTTTTTGTGTATTTCCCAGGTGCCCAAGAGCAATACACTTGGCAAGAAACCCGACGTCCACATGAGCAGCACGTTTATCCCCCTCACCAACAGAGAACTAAGCTCTGACATCTGGTAGAACACGAGCTCAACCGGGAAGTCGTTTACGAACTTTGAGCCGAAATCGGGGAACGTTTGGTGCTGCTTCTTCTTCTTCTTCTTCTTCTGGTTTCGAGCCGGCGTTTTTTTTTTTTTGTTTGTTTTTTTTGGGGACTCGAACTTCCCCGTTTACACTTTTGAGAAGCAAAAACGGAAGGATTTCTTGACCGTACGAACCTCGAGGTAGTTTCGTTTGGATGTAGATCGATCGCTAAGGAGTGTTTTCGTCTCTGTCGCGTACGGTGGAATTACTACGAAAACTCTGGATCTCGCGCGGGAAACGTGCGGATTCTGCCGCGACGCGTTCGTAAAAACAGGACCCGTTCCCGAAAGCCAGCCGCTGACACCAACTTCGGAAAAATTCTTATTTAAAGGAGGCTTGGATCGGCAGCAGACCTACGGAGAAGACGACGTCGGAGTTTAACGAAATTTCAGCTCGAAAATCCGGAAATACGTCGAACTTTTGAGAACTTTTAGCGTAAATATTTAAAGCACATTTGGATGATTTTCAAGACTCGTTCGGTGGATTTAAATGCGAACAATTTGACCCGGAACCCACCACGAAATCGCCTTGTAACACCAATATTCAGCTACTGACCTCTAGTGGTGAGGAGGCGAAAGGACGCAACCGAACTGGCGTTTTCTACCTGCATGACGAACACCCATTTAGAGAAAAATAATAATAATAATAATAATAATAAAGGAAACCTAGTTAAAGAGACGATGGCACAGTCCGTTTGCTGGAAGATTTTGTTCTTTCTGTTTGACGAATTATTACAAAAGGGGAAAACGAAATGTCCCTCCAAAAATAATTCACTTTTTTATTACGAGTTTTTGGGCTTTTATTTAACTTTTCAGAGATTTTGTTAATGTCAGTTTGTTACGATAATATTCTGTACAGTTTTCATAACTTATGCCTGGATTTCTTCTACGGAGTGAGTTGTTCCTGTAGACCGTGTACCGAAGTGAGCACGACAGTCAAATGAAGCTCAGCGAGGTCACGGTGGGGGGGGGCGGATTCGGAGTTGAGTTCCGATTTAGGGATTCTGACGGCGACTATCATAGCAACCAAAGAGCCAATCGGGAGCCGTGTGGTTGATGGTAAACGCCCCGTCCCGCCCACGTAGAGCGAGAATTTTACAGCGCTTTTTTTTTTGGACACTCAAAGACGCTTTACGAACAAATAGGAACTGTAGAAAACGGGGGGGGGGGGATCCTAGGGTGACCAGACTTCTCTGTTTCCCCAGTTTTGAGCCCCGTGTCCCCTGTCCCAGCGGATTTATACAAAACCACTGATTTGTCCCAGTTTTATGCAAGAAATGTCCTCGGTGTATCTCTGTTTCTGACCAATCTGATCCCTGCCAGCAGCAAAAAGAGACACACCGTATTTTTCGGTCAATAAGTCGCTCCGGAGTTTAAGTCGTAGCCGAAAAATGCGTCATGAAGAAGAACAAAACATATAAAAGTCGCACTTTTTGGGGGGAAATTAATTGTATAAAATCAGAGACCAGGAGCAGACATGTCGTGTGTAAAGTCAAGTTCTAATAAAAACAATAGAAGAGAAAACAACAGACTGTTAACGTCACATATGAACAGTTCTTCAGATAAACTATGAACATAAACCAAACTCTCCATCTCACTCCAAATCAATAAATCCATTCAGTTCTTCATCCTCGGTGTCACTTCTGAGCAACTCCACGACCTCCGGAGGTAAACAGAGCGACGCAAACTCTTCTGTGTCGCTGTCGTCAGACTCAGCGTCAGTTCCAGTTAGAATTATTCTGGTCTTTCTGAATCCCGACAGGATGGTTTCAGTGTCACTGAAGGACCTTGGTTTAGACCTGGTTTAGACCTGATTTAGACCTGGTTTAGACCTGGTTTAGACCTGGTTTAGACCTGATTTAGACCTGGTTTAGACCTGGTTTAGACCTGATTTAGACCTGGATTAACTCTTGGTTAGATCTCGTTTAGATCTGGTTTTGACTTGGTTTAATCCAGGTCCTGATTCTGATTATGGATAGACCTGGTTTAGACCTCAGTTAGACCTAGACTTGGTTTAGGACAGCTTCCAGTTCAGACCTGGTTTAGGCCTGGTTTAGTCCTGGATTAGACCTTGGTTAGACCTAGTTTAGACCTGGTTTAGACCTGGTTTAGACCTAGTTTAGACCTGTTTTAGACCTTGGTTAGACCTGGTTTAGTCCTGGATTAGACCTTGGTTAGACCTTATTTAGACCTGGTTTAGACCTGGTTTAGAACTTGATTAGACCTTATTTAGACCTAGTTTAGACCTTGTTTAGACCTGGTTTAGACCTTGATTAGACCTTATTTAGACCTTGTTTAGACCTGGTTTAGACCTGGTTTAGACCTTGGTTAGACCTCAGTTAGACCTAGTTTAGACCTTGTTTAGACCTGGTTTAGACCTGGTTTAGACCTTGATTAGACCTTATTTAGACCTTGTTTAGACCTGGTTTAGACCTTGGTTAGACCTTATTTAGACCTAGTTTAGACCTTATTTAGACCTTGTTCAGACCTAGTTTAGACCTCGTTTAGACCTAGTTTAGACCTGGTTTAGACCTAGTTTAGACCTGGTTTAGACCTGGTTTAGACCTTGGTTAGACCTCAGATTAGACCTAGTTTAGACCTTAATTAGACCTTGTTCAGACCTAGTTTAGACCTGGTTTAGACCTAGTTTAGACCTGGTTTAGACCTGTTTTAGACCTTGGTTAGACCTCAGTTAGACCTAGTTTAGACCTTGTTCAGACCTAGTTTAGACCTAGTTTAGACCTGGTTTAGACCTGTTTTAGACCTTGGTTAGACCTTATTTAGACCTAGTTTAGACCTTATTTAGACCTTGTTCAGACCTAGTTTAGACCTCGTTTAGACCTAGTTTAGACCTAGTTTAGACCTGTTTTAGACCTTGGTTAGACCTAGTTTAGACCTGGTTTAGACCTGTTTAGACCTGTTTAGACCTTGGTTTAGACCTAGTTTAGACCTTGTTTAGACCTAGTTTAGACCTGGTTTAGACCTAGTTTAGACCTAGTTTAGACCTGGTTTAGACCTGTTTTAGACCTTGGTTAGACCTCAGTTAGACCTAGTTTAGACCTTATTTAGACCTCGTTTAGACCTAGTTTAGACCTCATTTAGACCTCCTTTAGACCTAGTTTAGACCTCATTTAGACCTCGTTTAGACTTAGTTTAGACCTGGTTTAGACCTAGTTTAGACCTGGTTTAGATCTTGGTTAGACCTGGTTTAGACCTGGTTTAGACTTTGTTTAGACCTTGTTTAGACCTCGTTTAGACCTAGTTTAGACCTCATTTAGACCTCGTTTAGACTTAGTTTAGACCTGGTTTAGACCTTGTTTAGACCTTGGTTTAAACGGGATCTAGACCTGGTTATATTTACTGAATTATTCGGGTCTTTCTGAATCCCGACAGGACGGTTTCGGTGTCACTGAAGTCCAGACTTTGTCCAGTGACTTCAGGAAAGTTTCATGGTGCGTCCTCCCGGTGTCACAAGTTTCTCTCTCACTCCAAACTTTCTTTCTTCTGCTCGATTACCGTTTTCAGCTGCAGATTTCACGACTTGCGGTTTGTAATCTGCAAAATCTGATTTGGTTTTTGGGGACGTTTGTGTTCGCTCTTGTCCGTCGTCTTTAAAAGTTTGCTTTAAATGTGAAATTGTTCAGTGGTGCAGAAGTAAAGAGGCTCTTTCTGCAGGAGACATGCGCAGTAGAGCCAAGTGACAGTGGAGCAGCAGATACTCACACACCAGACTAGAGCCTCTCGACGCTTCAGTGTGAACGTTTTAATATGTAAGTCACAGGAAACAACCAACCCATGAAAAAAGTCCAACTTATAGTCCGAAAAAAACTGTACAAGTGACCAAAACACAAAGAAAACCAGACTGTAATGACTGCAATATTATTATTACTGACCGCTCCAAACCGGGGGTCTTCTATATTATTTTTTTTATTTTATCTGGTCACTCTAGGAGCGCAACATTAAACAGGCGAGTTTTTAGTCGTGTTTTGAAATGCCGCAGTGAGTCCGAGCTCCCGATGGATTGTGGGAGCGAGTTCTAGAGGGATGGAAGTCTTTTTTTTTTTGTTCGATCAGGATCACGTAGAGCGGGGCTAAGACAAACACTTTAAGCCCAAAACGACGAGTCTGACAGCCACGGTTACAGAGGGAGGGGCGCCGCTTTTTCAATAGGAAGGAGCCGATGGAGCCGGAAGCGCGCCCATGCTCACTTCCTGTTTTAGATCTAAACGGTCTATGGTTGTTCTTTGTATTTACTGTTTGGACGTTTATTTTGAAGGCGGCGGCCCGGTGTGAATGAGTCCATGAACCAACATTTAAAACGATCCAGCTTCATCGAAACTGTTGTTAAGTGCTACCAAAGTTTAAAGCCGCACTGTGGAACCTTTCTGGCCGAGGGTCCGCCGTTTGCTTGTCTCCGTGGCGACGTCTAGTTTAGATTTCTTAATAGCTAAAAAAAAAAAAAAACTTAGAAAAACATGCATTCTTACTCGCTTTAGATGACACGTTTAATTCTTTACTGCGGAACATTCCGGGCAGAGCGATCACGTCTCCGCGGAGACAAGCGGATCAAGCGCCCTCCGCCAGAAAAGCCCCGCAGTGCTCCTTTAACCAGAGCAATAAGTCATCGCAGTTCTGAAACACGAGTAAGAACACAGACATCGTTTGTTCGTTCGTAGCGTCTGATTCGTTTTTTTAAATCGATTACGCCGACGTTTGCGGTCTTGAAGGTGCTTGGACTCGGTCTTGAAGGAGCTTGGACTCGGTCTTGAAGGAGCTTGGACTTAGTCTTTTCTTGGTCTTGAAGGCGCTTGGTCTCGGTCTTGTCTCGGTCCTGAAGGCACTTGGACTCAGTCTTGAAGGTGCTTGGACTCGGTCTTGAAGGCACTTGGACTTGGTCTTTTCTCGGTCCTGAAGGTGCTTGGACTCAGTCTTGAAGGC